ATTCCCGTGTCGGGACAGGGGTCCGGGAGGGACTACGGGGCTGTCTCTTATACACATCTAGATGTGTATAAGAGACAGGGGCCTTGCTCCACTCGTTACCACTTGCACAAAAGACAAAACATATGGCGACGTACGGTTCCATGTTCTAGCAGAAGATTCATTCCTCTCTTTCTTTTGTTTGCTTTTCCTCTCTTTCTTTTGTTTCCTTTTTTTTTTTTTTTTTAAACTTATTGTTTCCTTTTCCTACGAGCAGTGGCCTTCTACTGCCCAGAAACTCGTGTGCTCAGTGGTCCCATAACCCCTGAGACATGGACCTTAATGTGAAATCAACAGCATATATACTTGGCGTGCCATGACTCTGCTATGAACATTTACCTCACCGTTCATTCCCTACCCGCCATGACTACAAATGTTTCCACTCGCCTCCTAAGCTACCGGGACCTCCTACAAAATAGGAATACTGTGGGATCCGCCAAAAAGAAGCTTTTTACTAACCGCAAGTACTGTGGGATAAGGCGCTCAGTGATTGTAGGGAATTCGGCAGTGAACTTAGGCAAAATCCCTGAAAAAAAAAAAAAAAAAAAAGTAACCCCGGGCCACTCTGGTAGCCTAGTGTACTATACAATTCTATGAAAAGAGCAGGGCCATTGATTGCTTCCCTACAAGAGGGAAGGATTGACCTTCTGCAAAAGAATTGATATCGTGGCGAGAGGTAGCACCAACCACCAACGATTACCCAACTCCACCCCTCTGCCAGACAACAAAGATACCTAGCGAGAGCAACCACCATCGTTTATCCTACTCCTCCCCTCTGCCGGACAAAAAACATTCAACTCCATATCAAGGTTGGGGGGGAGAGGATAGTAAACCTATTCTTACCACCGATCACGGAGCTGCTCACCGCGCTGAGTAATTTCTCTCCCCCCCAAACCCCCGTCACCCCCCCACCCCGAAATCGAAGTTTCTCAGCGGATTTGGGCAGTACTCAGCAAGTGCAGTACAGCTGTGAAGTCGAAAAAAAAGAAAGAATCAGCGGAGGACTGTGAAGTTTCTCAGCGGATCTGGGTCGTCGGCCCCCGACCCCCGCACTCCCGACACCCTGTCTCTTATACACATCTAGATGTGTATAAGAGACAGCCACTTTACTTCTGGCCAGGCATGGCAGTTATGG